AAGGGAAAAGATTATGGTTGAAGACAGTAGATGATGTTTTCTCATTAGGTGGAAATTGATCTTATGACTAGAACTACTGGAACAGATTGTTACTTTGGCAGTTCATAAAACTCCTCAATAGATAGAAATTAGATTCCTTCTCCTGTGTTGTCTGGGTAAATCGCTTTTTTAAGCATATAGAATTTTTTCCTACCTTTGAGGATAACGTAATTGACTTCCAATTCAGATTTATAAAGTTGTTTGCTGCTTTTAAAGTGTGGGTTATTTTTCCCCCCAGTGGATTGAGTGACACATTAGGAAGATAAGAAAGAGATCCAATTTTAAATAAATGGGGAAAAATAATATTTGCGTAGAAAATAAAACCCCACATTTGTCATTATCTTTATTCTGAAGCTGTAGTGCTCTCTGTTGCACAAATTGCGTGTATTTAGTGAATGTGATATTTATGAAGAGAAAATGTATTTATGCTGAAATAACAGTGATTTTTCATGGTATATGTATTTAAATAGCAAAATCTGTAAGTGATATCTATAAGTCCTGCATTTATGTTGCCTTTATAAGGCAATAGCCGCACATATGCATTTGTTCTTTAAATGATGTTTCAGTAGAAGTCAGAATTATTCTATTGCTTTGGGTTTTTTCAACCCTGTATTCCATTTTTGTACTGATTGGTACATACTGTGATAACCCCATGTCTTGATTTGACCCCAGACGGCAATAAGCCTGGCACAGCTGCACGCTCACTCCTCCTGGTGGGATGGGGGAGAGAATCATATGGATAAAAGAGAAAACTCATGGGTTGAGATAAAGACAGTTTAATAGGGAAAGCAAAAGCCATGCATGCAAGCGAAGCAAACCAAGGAATTCATTCACCACTTCCCATCAGCAGGCAGGTGTTCAGCCATCCCCAGGAAAGCAGGGATCCATCGTGCATAATGGTTGCTTGGGAAGACAAACGCCATCATTCTGAATGTTTTCCCCTTCCTTTTTCCCCCAGCTTTATATGCTGAGCGTAACGTCATGTGGTGTGGAATATCGCTTTGGTCAGTTGGGGTCAGCTGTCCTAGCTGTGTCCCCTCCCAGCTTCTTGTGCACCCCCAGCCTACTCGCTGGTGGGGTGGGATGAGGAGCAGAAAACACCTTGACTCTATGTAAGCACTGCTCAGCAGTAACTGAAACATCCCTGGGTTATCAGCACTCTTTTTCAGCACAAATCCAAGCTACTGTGAAGAAAATTGAGCCTCTACCAGCTCAAACCAGCACGTTCCATGAATGTTTTGCACTTTCACTGAAGGGGCAGTCCTGACCACACAGTCATGCTTGTCTTGGCACAGCCATGTGCATGTGGGCAAGGTGGAACATAAAGGGATGCATCCAGTTTAAAAGCTAGCCTGGCTGAGAACAAAGGAATTCTTAACCTGGATGCGTTCCTTTGTCTGGTTCATGGTACAGCCATGTGAAAACTGATGCCAGTAGCAATGATAGCTGAATAATAAGCAGTGAGGAGAGGCAGGGGTGCCTCTTCTTGTGGCCGTGTCAACTGATGTCACTTCAATGCATGCGTGTGTCATGCACAGGCTATTGATGTGTTCTTTGAGTAAAACCTGCTGTTTTCAAGCTCCTGAGTTCAGGTGTGTCTTCTTCGAATGTGTCCTTCCTCCATGCCAGAACAAGACCTGGGTAGGTGGTGTTTCTTCTCTTTATCTCACCTTTCCTGTCGTTCAGTGCAGACCAGCAATGAAGCACTGAGGCTGAGAGAAAGTAAGAAGGTTGCTAGAATCCTGCAACATTCTTTCAGTCACTGATTTGGTTAACAGTGTTGTTAAGATTTTTGCATTGTTAACTTTTTATACCAAGTTTTTGCTTGTCCTTAATTTAATATAGTCATCTAAACATATTTCTGGTTTGTTAAAGGAACTCCTGGGATTCCCTGTCTCCGGAAATGAAAATCTCTGATCAATTGGCATGCGATTAGTTTGTGTGTTTTATTCATTGTGTGCCACTAGGGGACACTGTCGACCACTGCATTTCTGTGCAAGAGTGGTAGCTCTAATAGAAGAGATCAATATGTTTTCATTTTCTGACTAGTGACACCGTTTTCGTAATTCTAAGCTCTTCCCTGATCAAAGAATACTTAATAAACTGTTTATTTTTAAGCACTTTTAGATTCAAATTAAGTGTTTCCTCCAGTGATTTATAAAATCAGAATCTTGCTGAAGTTACAGTTCTGTTACAGTATCTATTATTAATGCCCAAGAAATAATATACTGAATTGTTCATACTCTCATTAGACCTCATTCAAATACCATTAATCTTTTCTGGGTAGAAAGTATAATGAACAATGGGAATTGAGTGTCTCCATCGTTTAATGGATGGAAGGTAATTTAGATACAAGTGGACGTCATTCTTCTATAGATTACTAGCAGAAGGTGATAATTGGTTAGGTGCAGATTATTTTCCTGGTCGTTGTGCATAATAAGTAATTGTAATAATCTAGCCAAAAATGTTAATACACATTGGAAAAACGTAATCTCTTCTTTTCTCCCCCAAAGGATAGTATGTTTTAATATTATAAAGTTGACGTAAATTACTTGTTTAGTTTATTTAGTAAACTTCAGCAGCTCTCTTCTAGATGCTTATCCAGTCTCTGCTTGACTCAGTGTAAACCTTTGCATCCAGAGCATCCTTTGTCAGAGTTCCTTGCCAAGGAGATCTGATACTTCTTGCATGAAAAACTATCTCCTCTTGTTTGTTTTGAATGTGGCTTCTTCAAGCGGCTTTTGATAAAGCTCTCTTCTTGTATTCAAAGAGACTGTAGACTCTTCATATCCACTCTCTCTGGTACAGACATTTGTCATTCACTTCCAAATTTTCTTTTTTTTCTCCGAGTGAAAAAGTCCTAGCCAACTCAGTAGTTCCAATTACAGAAGCCATTCAATTCCTTTGAATATCCGTGTTACTCTTCTGTGAACAGTCTCCAGCACTATTGATTTTTGGAGTAGGACACGCAGTTTTCTAAGTGTAGGCAAACCACTGATACAGTGGGGTAACGGTGTTCTCTGTTCCTAACATGATTTGCTTTTTTTGATAGTTTCCTTAAAAGTCTTTGGTGAGGAATTTTGCTAAAAGCATTGTGAAAATCCACGTCAGGGTATCAGTTGGATCACTCAGGCCTGATATCTTCAGAGACCTTTAAGAGGTTTGGAAGATGGGCCTTCTCTTTACGAAAGCTATGCTGATTTTTATGACTAGATAGCAATTATCTGCCTATTGACTAATTCTGTCCATTCTTATAGTTTCTGCCAATTTGTCTGGTAGCAACAGAAGCATAGCAGGCCAGTAGTTTTCCAGATCTTCCCTGGAACCTTTTAAAAAAGTTAGTGTTGCAAGTGACGTTTGGGATACGGAAGAGTTTGGTTTTGTTTTTTCTTGTGTGTATTTGCTTTTTTGGATATGTGTGTATATGTGTGTGTGTGTGTGTGTATATATATTTTTAGCATTGGGTTTCCAGAGAAGGTTATGCCCACTCTGACTTACAGCTTCAGTTCTTAGTAATGTCCAGTAGCTTGAGAGAAGGATTTATCCCAGTCAGGCAGGCTGAGAGGGACATCACATTGCTTATAGTATCAGCATCAAATTACAGGAATAATTTGACTGTCATACAATATCTGTGTGCTATCACTGATGATAAAAATTTCAATTCCATGATTGATAATGCTTGAAGTAGAACACACTGGTGTCCTGAAAATTCATTTTCCCATCTAGAGATAAATCCAGTCAGTAGTGCTGTACAGTCACTGACAAGAGGCAAATAGTGCCTATGCTGTCTTTTTTTAAGCAAAGTTCTGAACATATTCAGATTTTAAATAACAAGATTTTAAATGTCCTCCAACATCTAAAGCATAACTATTGATTGAGATCACATTTTGGTTATTATAGAACAAATGAAAAATAAATGCTTCTGCTATTCATGATTTTAATAATCAGATAACTTAAAAATGACACATTTTGCTGACTTATCCTTATTTAGCAGAAATAATTGGCTAAAATATGTTCCAAAGGAATATATAGTTGTGGGTTCTGGTGTCTTTGTAGAACAATCTATAAAATTTAATAAAATTCATATATCCAAAACATTATTTTTATAAAGCATTTCACAGTGTATTTACTCTAAAAGAGAATGCAGAATGGCATTGGCAAATGGCAAATTTTGATTCCTGAGATTTAATATGGTATAATCTATGTAACTTGATTTACTGTGATGTTATTTGCTATGAGCTTACTTTGGCTAGTTCAAATGCAGGATAGTTTTTCTCCAAAGGTGACATGTGTTGTATACTGTGCTATGCATTTTAGACCTGTATTGCATAAAAATGTGATACATTATACCTTTCTTCCAATTTGTGACTCATACAGTATGTTTTCTGGGAAGAATGCAGAAATAGATCATTATTATTGGAGCTAATCTAATGCTTTCAATTTGATTGACATCCCTTGTCAGTTTTTTTTTTTTATTGAGCATTTGTTGAACAGAAAAGTGTATACAATATTTTATCAGAATTAGTATTCCTGACATCTGTAATTAAGCCTCCCCTGTTTCTGCTTTATTGGCTTTAACATCCCTGTCTAACAGATTGTACAAATTGCACATTTGTTTACAAAACAGGTCCAGATTGTTCTTTGAATGTCCCTTCCACGGAGTCTTACTGGATTCTACCAAATGTAAAGCCCTTCAGCCCTTCTGTTGGCCGGGCTTCACATAAAGCAGTCCTACATGGGAAATTTATGTGGGTGATTGGTGGATATTCTTTTAACTACAGTTCATTCCAGATGGTGTTGAAGTAAGTGATTTCTCTTTCATGTCCTTTCTGGTGTGGCTTAGGGAAAACTGATCATACCAGGGAGGTAACCTCTATCCTGCAGTTTAACTGTAAGTTTTATATGGTTTTAGATTCTTTTTAACGGTGTTATTTTCTGCTTGTAGTGTTCTTATGATTAAGACAAGTCAAAATATGGGTAACAATGATCTGTGTGTGATACTTATGTGTAATTTCTTCAGTTTCGTGAAAACTGCCACTATCCTTTGCTGCAAAACATAAAAATATTTGTGGTGATAAAACAGTAAAAAATGCATGTGCCGATATTTTTCAGACAGTACATCTAGAATGCTCTTGGCATTATCAAAGTTAATTTATAATTATGAGAGACTTGTATTTAGCGCAGTTATTTAGCCTGTTGGTGCCCTGCCAGTAGGGTTAGGCGGGTCATCTGTATCTCACTTCTTCACATTTATGACAGTTTGTATGGTGACTTGTATGTGTGTAGAGGCCCTAAAGTTGTAATTGAAAGTATTAGGATATTAACATGTTTATTCTATTCTTTTCTACTTGTTTTCTTCCACAGCTTTGCAATCCAAAACAAATGCCATTGTCTTTGGCAATTTTCTGTTCTATCTTTGTCGTCTTATTTTTTTACCTCTCTTCCATCTTATTGTGATTTAATACATTAATGGATTAATTGTTAATTAAAATTTAGTGGAAATTAAAATCAACCATACAGCTTAGAGGGTGCTCAACAGTAAGTTTTCAAAGTAGTGCAAAACATTGTGCCATAAGCAGTTTATTGGTTTTGAGTTTTTTGATGTGACTGATAACAGTGAGCTTAGCAGTCTAGTTTCATAACTTTCTTGTAAGTCTGGTGATTCTTATTACAATCACCTTTTCTGAGATTGTTGATGGGTTGCTGAAAGAGCTGCTTCTCTTTTCATCGATGAGCACTTGGTACACTATCACTAGTTAGTACACTGTTGTAACAGTTAAAAGTGGTCCTGTTAATGCTGTTAACAAATTCAGATAAACAGCAGTGACTGATCTGTTTGGCAAACTGTGCCCACTTGAAGTTAGTTCTGACATACAAAAGTCCCTCTATCTCTGCAGGTAGAAAATGTTTACTTTTCTGTTTGTCTTCTAGCTACAATTTGGAAAGCAGCATATGGAACGTAGTACCTGTATCCAAAGGGCCGCTCCAGAGATATGGACACACTCTTGCTTTATATCAGGTTTGGACTCTTCAGCATCCTGTTTAATAAGTTTCTTTGCATGTGCTGTTGGGGATCTTAAAATGAATCATCGTGAACGTGGATTTTTGAGGATAACTTAATTTTCAGTCCCTAAGCATTTTGTATTAGTGTCTTCTTCTGTACTTTGATCTATTGCACAATCTTTTTTCCCAAAATTGTGCAATACATCTAAGTCACTTATTAGCTGACCATAAACCCTCAGAGCGAAACCCACTGGTAAAAGGAGGCTAATATGATTGTAACTGCAGTAAGGGAAGGATCGCTGGGAGCCAAGGGTGACCCAGTGTGGGCAGTGCCCTCACTGACCAGGTACCATCCCCAGGGGCTGAGCCCAGCAGGCAGAGCCGTGTGCTCATAGCAGGGGTCCTTTGACAGCCACAGACATGGCAAGCGATGGTCCAGGTCCAGGGACTATCCTGGGAGTCCAGTCAGGAGCAAAAGGAGACAGAGCTAGAGACAAGACTGGGGAGAAGGCTACAACGCATGTCTGAGAGGTCCATCTGGGAGACAAGCTACCTACAGCGCATGTCCAGGTTCATCCAGGAGGCAGGATCACAAACAGTCAGGGACAAAAAAAATTACTTTTTGTTAATCCATTAATTTTTGGCTAGTGCTAATCATGTCTCCAAAAAATAAAGGACCAAAACTGAATGCAGTACATAATTTAGCCTTGTACAGATGATGGCAAACTTGTTAACTGTGATGGTGAAATACAGAATTTGTATCTAAAATTTTCAGTTGTTTGCACAAGATGCCTCGAGTATGGAAGAACAGAAAAGGTGAACACTCAGACCACAGTTTTCATCTGGCTCAGTAGCATGTCTTGGAGAATGGGCAAATGCCTGAGAAGAATATAAGAAAAAATGTCATATAGAAGCTTCCTCATAAAATAGTTGGATTAGAATACAGCTGTGATTTTCTAAGATAGGATAGTATTTTTGTGGAAAAGGGATGAATCCATGCTTTTTATTTTTTTCCAAATTTTCTGACTATATATTGATTTTAGCATTGATACCACCCTCTTCCTAAGAATTCCAGTGTGTTTTATGAAGAAATGCCACCTTTTCGAAAACTGGTACTCACTGGTTTAATTTTGATAATCTCTAATTCTTATACTATTTTCCATTTATTTTGTCTGTATCATGTGATTTTCTATAAGTCCATCATATCCTCTCTCTATTGGTTTTTTTTCATGCTGAAAATTCCTTGCATATTTAATAATCCTCCAGAAAAAGCTATTTCATACCTTAGATAACACTTTGTCATTGCCCCTACCTCTTCTAGTTCTGTGTTATCCCTTCTGAGATAAGGGGAATCATCGTGTATTGGTACCTCAGAGACTGATGTTATAGAATTAACGATCTAATTTTTTCCTGTTAATTCTTACAGTATTTTAACTTTTTGAAAATCTGCTGTTGCCTTTGAGCTGATATTTTCAAAGAACTATAATTTATAACCTAAAGATCTCATCCCAGTCAGCTTAAAACCCACCGTCGTACGTACAGACTTAAAATTGGGTTGTCTTTGTATACATTACTTCATGCTTATCTACACGAACTTTCATTTACCCTTTTATTTGACCTTGTGTTGCACATTCAGTATTATGAAATTCTTCTGCGATTCTTTGCTTCTGACCTTCTCAGCTATTTTGAGTAACAGTATTGTCAACAAACGTTGTAATTTTTCTATTCATTCCTGTGCTAGATTGTTTTTGAATCTTTTGAACAAACAAATCCCAATTGTAGATCTCTGTGGGACACTGGTAATGACCTCTGTTCATTTAAGAAGTGAACGTTTTTTCCCCAACTTTTCTTTATCAAATTACTTAGCATTGTGTTATCTGCCTTGCTTGTCCCAGAGCAACTTAATTTCTTTAAAGCATGAGGAGCATTGTCAAGCATGTTTTGAAAATTCCAGGTAGTTGTATCAACCAGACCTTTAATTCCTTCAGGAAAATCCAATGATTTACAAGATAGAACTTCCCTTTTCAAAAGTTGTTACACTTTTCCTCAGTCTATGTGTCTTACCAATGTGTTCACTAAATTATCTCCTTTCTGCCTGTTGCTTTTCAGTCTCTTGGTACTGACACATTTTTGAGGAGGGAGTTACACACTGCAGAAAGGAGTCAGCTGTTTTGTTCTTAAATTTCTTCAGAACTGATCCTGGTGACTTGTTGCTCTTTTTGTCAGTTTTGTTTTTTTCATTATGACTTTCTGTTATTAATTTCTGCTATGGAAATACCTGTAAAGTCTACCAAGAAGAATTCAAATGTAAAAATTACCTTAATTTTATTGCTATGGCTTTATCTTCTCAGTATACTCCTTCAGACTGTCTGTTGGCACCACAGATTATCTAGTTGGCTGTATTTTTAATGCATTTGGAAAATGGTGTATTTTACATACATGTACTTTACATACATTTTGAAGGCAGCTTGTCAAACTGTTTCATGGCTTCCTTTATATGTCTCCTGGAGTTTTTGAACCTTTATTTTGAAGTACTTATACTTTTGAAGTACTTTTCTTACTTCTGTCAGTCTCCCTTATTCTCCTGTTAAGTTAGGCTTGATCTATTTTGTAATTTGTAATGGGAATTTTTTTTTTTAAGTGGGAGGCATTCATGTGATCTGAGCAGATGTCCTTAAAATGTCTGCATATTGTCATTAAAGATTTTATCTGTTTAGTTGTATATTTTTAGTTTCTTTTTGTGATTGGTCTTCCTTTTATATAGTGCTCCTTTTGAAGTTAGCAGAATTGTAGATGTGGGTGGATTTTGTCTGTTGTTTTGTTTTCTTGCCATCTGTTGCTCTTCCAGAATCCGTACATGGCACGGTTAATGTTCTAGATGAGCTTTTCGGTGGTAATATGAATGAGATTCTATGCATGCCCCGACATCAACTCAAAAAATTCTTTTATTCTCATTGGTTCCTTGATTCATTACTAATGTATTATCTGTTCTTTGAAAGGTCAAATCTTTCTGACCGGTATCTTTGGTTATTACAGTTCTTGTAGAATGTGGACCTTTCAGTTGGGAAACATTCGAGTAATGTATCATTTAGCAGTTCAGTACAAAAGCTTAAAATATCATTTAACCTTTTTATTTGACAGTGCTAATACTTTCTTGAGATATTCCAGAACAAAAGGTAACCATGTTAGAGATACTTTTACCAGCAAATATAAAATATAACAGAACTGTGTTAATTCAGAGATCTTTTTGGATCTTGGTGAGAAAATGCAACTCTTGTTAATATTAATGAAAGCTACGAGCAACTGTGTAGTGAAGAAGTTGTTCCTGTTTTCAAAGGCACATATTCATTAGTAATTAGAATTCATTAATAATGAAAATAGCACCACTCATGTCAAATAATAACTATGTTGCTTGTACTAGTGATTTTATCAAAAATTACATGGGCCAAGAGGAGCTGGTCATGTAAGTTGAAGAAACTTCATGTGAAAAAGTACATCCTTTTGAAATAAGTCCTTAAATTAACTTGTCAGGGTAAACTTGATATTTCAGACATTTAGTCACTCAAAAAAACGGAAAAATAATTTAGTGTGAAGAGTAGTAGAACGTAGTACCTAGAGATGGCAGCTTTGAGTTGTGTTGTGAGCTGTGTACTAGTCATTGTGTAATTTTTCTTTTATAGTTGAGAGAAAAAATATCCACAAAGAAGAAATTAGATTAAGTTTTTGACTTGAACTCCTGAGATTTCAAAACCTAGTGCTAGACTGGAGTGAGAGCACAGAGCTAGTATTGCCTGATTGTGGTGCAAGGTAAATTGAAGCTATATAATTGACTCTGTGGAGAATAAAGTAAGTTACTGTGCCTATTTCCCTCAGAAAGCTTCTTTGGTTAAAATTGAAGTACTGTACTTCTTTATTCTGAAGAAAAAAAGATCAGAAGACTCCCACTGATGTATAGTTATAACAAGTGACTAGGACTTTTTATGCATTTATAGAGGAGAGAGTATAAAATTGTTCTTGCTTTTAGACCAACTAAACTGTTAGATAGTATTACCTTTACAATGCCTCTTCAGACTGGTTATTGGAAAGGTCCTACCTATATCTGTTAGCAATTGGTTCTTCTGTATCTCAAAGTTTATATAAAGTTTCTGTCATCTTGATATCGAAAAATGTCAGCATACTTTGAAACAATTCATATAAGAAATAGAATTATAAAGAGACTGGAGGAAATGGCTTGTGAAGTTTTTAACACAGGTACATATAGCTTTGGTAAACAGTGACTAGATAGGGAGTTATACAGTAAATTGAAAAAGACTAGATCCCTGGAATAAAGTAGCCAGGGAGTTGCATACAGGGTGAGTATAGGGTCACCGCTGGGAGTTTACTCAGTAGTGAGCTTGTGGTTGTACTGCAAATCTCGACCTTGTAATTAAACTGTTACTAGTAGTCCCAAGACAGTGGAAGGATGACTGGGCATGGAGATTTCTTTCCTTTGAGACTGGTGATAGGAATGAAGCACGCAGGCGGGCTGACACAGTAGTAACCGTAAAGATGTTTTCCAGTGTAGAGGCCATTTTATATGTAGTCAAATTTAATTTGACTCACTTGAGTTTTATGAATGTTACTTCCAACTTTAAAGCGTTGTTAAAAAAAGCTAATTTTTTTTTGATTCCTTTTCCAAATTAGTTGGTCTTGATGTTGAGTCTGTATATCTCTTCTGGTATTTTTTATTAGTCTAGTCAAAAGCTATAATTAACAAAACAAAAAAAACCTTTTTCCACTTTAATATGAGTGAGATGAAATCTTTCACCAGTCGGTTTTTATGTGCCTATTTTTGCTGGCTATTGTAGTATAATTTGGAACGGCACTAGGGATGTAAAAGTCTTTTCTAACTATTCCATTAATAATTATTAGCAGGTTGTATCACCAAGTTGCATTTTTTAAAAATTTTATTACTCTCAGTTGCATCTTATGCACAACTGGCTTTCTATTTCTAATTTGCAGACCTCAGAAGTGTGA